CCTGCCTGTTAAGCAACCTGCACTGGCTGCTCATGGACAATAGGGCCAATTAGAAGTGGAAGCCTGGAGGTCACGGGTCATCCTTGTGGGAGATGGAGAGGGCTCTTGGGTCAGACCCAGGAACAGGTGGAGCAGGGTGAGACAGTGGAAGAGAGGTCCTGGATTTGGGGTATACTCTGTCTGGTTGAAGGGGTACCTAGAGAAGCCTGGGGGGTCAACAGAGTAATTAAGGGATAAATGAATTAAAAGAGCTGCATAGATGTCTGAGAGGTTGCCAGTGGTTTGAGGCTGGAGTCCTAGGGAAAGGTGAGGCAGGAGCGGAGATCAGGCGGGTGGCTGCTAAAATGTGTTACATAAATTCATGCTAATCTAAGGGAGGCAGGGCCCAGCTTCAGGAGCTCTGAAAACAGCCAGCAACTAGGATAAGGGGTTGGGGTCCCACAGAGAAGGGTCATGTAGTAAGCTCCTGGTGAGAGAGGTTCCAAGACATCACCCTTAGTATTCAAGTAAGGTTCAGTGAGGTCACCACCAGGGTCCTTACAAGAGGGAGGAGGTGCAGGCCCCAGTAAGAGGATCATGGGAAGAAAGGTGAGAGGAAAGAGCCATTCACCATGGAAGCCAGACAGCCTTTAATATGTGTGTGTGTGTGTGTGTGTGTGTGTGTGTGTGTGTGTGGCGGGGGGTACAGACATGCCACAGTGTGTGTGTGGAGGTCAGAGGGCAACCGCAGGAGGCAGTTCTCAACTTCCACCACATGGGTTCCAAGGATCAAACTCAGATAGTGCCCCCACCCACTACCCATGTCCCCATCCCCGGGGCAGCCTTTAGGGACCCTGGAAAACAGCCTGCAGAGCGAGCAGCAGAGTCCAGAAAACCCTTGCCACCCAAAATCACGGCCTGCCCAGTGGAGGCACATTGCCAACTGCCAAAAAAGTAAAGTGGTCATGTTCTGTGGCACCACAACTGTCCTCAGGTGTTGGAGCAGGAATGAGTCTTTCAGGGAGACAGGTGTCCCTCCACCCGGGCTTCAGTGGTCTTTGGCTTAACTCACCTCATCACTACATGTGTGTGTGTGTGTGTGTGTGTGTGTGTGTGTGTGTGTGTGTATGAATATATGTGTATTTGTGTATTTGTATATATATTCATCTATAGAGAGAAAATAAGAGACATTTTTAGGTATATGTGTGTGATGTATGCCTGTGTATGTGTTCATGTTGGCATATTGTACCAACCTGTGTACATGTATGTGGAGGCCAGAGATTGACACCAGATACCTTCCAAAGTTTCCCTTTTATTTTTTAACATGTGCACATGTGTGTAGTGTGCATGTGACCCTGCTTCACAAGTGTGTGGGCACATGTGTGCATGGATTGACACGCACATATGTGCTGGTGCGTACGGATGCTGGAAGTTGACACTGGGTGGTCTCCTCAGTCGCTGTATATTTAGGGAGGACCTCTTGCTGAGCCTGGAGTTTGTCAGTTCCACGTAGTTGAGCTAACCAGCTTGCTCCAGAGGCCCCGTCTGCTTCCTGCAACAGGCGATTGCCTCGCTGCCCAAATTTTAAGTGGGCTCCGGGGATCGGAACTGCATTCCTTACTCTTGTGTAGCAAGCACTTTGTTCACTGAGCCCTCTCCCCAGCTCCTCTAGTTTTTGAGACAGAGTCTTCTCACTGAACCTGGATCTCACTGATTAGATATAGTGGCCAGTCATCAAACTCCGGAGATCTGAGTCTCTCTAAATGGCCTTTCCATTGCTGAGGCCACAGGGGCGCGGCTTTTTACACGGGTGCTGGGTCACAACACTCAGGCCCTTACGCTGAAGCAATAAGTTAATTGCCCACTCAGCCACCTTCGCAGCCCCCAGGTAGACATTTAAAAGCTAGACTCTATTTCTAGTGCCAAGGTAGGACCAAGATTGAAGCCTGGGTGGCCTCTGGCAAAGCCTTGAGCCTTCTAGAGGAGAGGTTGGGGGCTCTGAATCTGCTGCTGGCAGGTGAGGCTAGAGTTTCCTGCTCTTCTGGGTGTCTTGAGGTCAGGCTGTGTGGTAAGTGGTGGCTTGGGGGCCTGGTTGGTGAGTCAACCCTGCCCAAACTGCCTGCCCAGAGGAAGATGACTGCCTGCTAGGCCTGGTGGGCGCTGCTGGGCCCGGGATGTGGGCATGCTCAGATGTACTGATAGGATAGCTGGTGGGTAGATGGGGTTTGTAGGCAGAGGAGTGAGCTGAGGCCTGGCTGTGGAGCTGATCGTAGCCTCACCTCTACTGTTGAAACTGTTGGCGTGGGTGATGCCCGCCCAGCTAAATTAATTAGCATCTATTTGCAAACCAGCAATTAAAGAGCCAGTGTCTTTCCTGTGGCTTGGTTAGGTCTGACAGGACAGTCCGGTGTGCTCTGTCTGTTTCCTTTTTCTCCATAACAATCTTAAGTTCTTCAGCCAAGGTTTAAAAGCAAACACCAGTTAATGTCAGCCAAGGTCAAAACCCAAGCATTGTTCCAAATTGCTGGACTAGTAAATCGATACTGCCCTTAGGATCTTCCTGGAGCCGAGGCTTGTCTCACCCAGAATGCTGGTGGGTTTGGGTGGAGACTTGGATCATGCTGGTGGTGTTTTAGGGACTTGAAATGTCAGGGTACAAACCTGCTTGTCACTAGGGTGCCCATGTATACACTTGGGAGCACTAGAAGCCAACCTTCCTTTCTTCTTTTACTCCTTCCTTCCTTCCTTCCTTCCTTCCTTCCTTCCTTCCTTCCCTCTGTCCCAACCCCCTTCCCCGAGACAGTCTCACAATGTAGCCTATGCTAGCCTAAATTTCACCATCCTCCTGCCTCAGCCTCCTGGGACACTAAGATTACAGGCAGGAGCCACCATACCCAGCACCATACCCAGCCATGGCTGGTTTTTAAATAGTATTGAGTAAAGTAAAAAAAAAAAAAATTACCCCATAATATTTGTAGTATAATATATATGTAAATATTTTTCTAAATATATTAAAAATAGAAAAATATATCTCTAGTCTGACACAAAGTAGAGGCATGATTCCCAAAGATTAGGGTCTCGGGGACTTAAGGCTGCAGAACTGTGTACATAAAATGGCTAAAATGGTATGTTTCATGTTATGTACATTTTGCCACCAAGTGTCATAGTTATGTTCCCATGAAGTCAACAAAGTTGGCTCGGCCTAAGGTTTTTAAAACTTGTGAATGAAATGGAGCCGTTTCAAGCTGCAAGCCAGAGGTCTGTGGATCTTTGAGAGGGAGACTAGGAACTGGAAAGGAAGGACACAAGAAGCTGGTACCCTTTTGCACAGGTAGAAGGCTCAATGGAGGTGGAGGAGAGGCTGACTCATCCCTGTAGTGGTGGGCTTTGCTTTCTTGTTTTTTCCTTTGTTGTTTTGGTTTTTGTTGTTGATGTTTTGTTTTGTTTTGCAGAGCTGGGGATGAAACCAGGGCCTTGCATGTGTGCCAGGCAAGTGCTCCACTGTTGAGCCACACCCCCAGCCTGCTGATACCTTTTAATGGCTGTGCCTAGTGTCACTTAGGAACTGTTTCTTGATACCCTGCAGTAAGCATCACAGACTGGCAAGGCTCTTGGAGTCACTGAACTCCTATCAGGATCTCTGAGAGGACAGTGTCTCTGGGGGGCTGCAGAAGTAACAGGTTGGACCAAGCCTCTGGGTAAGATGGCCCAACAATGCCCTGGACAGGACATTCCTTTGTGGTCTGGAGTCTGGGCTGTGCCTGTCTATCCCTCTGGTGTGTTTGAACTTCACACTGACCTGCATTAATCACATCCTAGCTCAAACTACCTGACCTTGGCAGTGTCGTGGGTATAATAATGGCCACCTCACAAGTGTGTTGTGATAATTAAGATAATGAGGGCATACCAGCCTCTGTTCAGTGCTCAGCACATAGCAAGTGCCCAGGAATGGCACCTGTCATCATTTCACACATCGTAGGGCTTAGGGGAGCAGCAGATCCTCAAACCATCTTCATGTTGGCTTCCAACCTCTGGTCCCAGGATGGCTGCTGTAGGCATCATCAGCATCTCTGCTCTTTTTATCCCACACCAACTTTTGCCAGAAGCTCCACCAGACTTTTTTATGGGCCGAGGATGTGCAGGTTTGGGCCCTCTAGCTAGTCAGAATGTCCCAAGGATGCCTTGTACCAACCTCCTGAGAGCTGGGATTACTGCCCAGCTGCCCATTTAGCTCACATTCTTATACAGGAACCTGAGCTCTGGACCTTGAACTTCCGAGGAAAGTGCTTTATCTTCTGAGCGACATCCCCAGTTACAGAACCTTATTTTCAGCTGGAAACTCTTTATGTGGGTCAAACACACTTTAAAGATCAGTCTTGGTGTGTGTGTGTGTGTGTGTGTGTGTGTGTGTGTGTGTGTGTGTGTGTGTGTATGTGTGTGTGTGTGTGTATCTGTCTGTGTGTGCTTGTGCACTCTAGTGTGTAAACTCAGATTAGCCCTTCCCTGGACCTGAGCATACCCCTTCCAGCGCCACATGGGGTCACCTCACAGCTAACCTTCACCCTGTGGTGTTACTGGCTTTTGTGTAGGGATGAGAATACCCATTTATTGGCAGCATGTGATGCCAGACTTGAGACAGGATGCATTTCAGGAATGGTGGTGTGGGGGGGGGTCGGAAAGGAAAGGAAAATGAATAAGTGAATGAATGAATGAGGTGGAAACATACTCCAGCGTAATTATTAAGTCCAAGGCATTAACATTTATGAAATGAATCTGTTAGCAAATTATGAGGTCAGTTCTTTATAACCAGGACACTTGATGATGGTGCCAGTCCTGCTTGTCCCTATTGGGACCAGGACAATCCAGGCAGGTCCCTAGGATGCTGGTCACATGCTCACACACCCCTTCCTAGGGGCGGGGTCGTGTTCTGGGCTGTGTAGCTGGCTGTTCAAAGACTGTTAGTTCCAGGAGCCCCACTGGTGCTTTGGAGGCAGGCTTAGTGTTTCTTCTTTCTCTTTCAGAGTGAAACATCTTTCAACCTAATATCAGAAAAATGTGACATCCTATCCATTCTTCGGGATCATCCGGAAAACAGAATTTACCAGAGGAAAATTCAGGTGGGGCAGAGGGCAGACAGACCAAGAGCCTAAACAGAAAGGGTGGAGGTCGGGAGTAAAGAAGGAAGCAGCTTTTGGAAGGCATGGAGCTCAGGCCAGGTTCCTGGACAAACTGAAACACTCATAGACCATTCTGGTATTGGGTATTTACCTCAGAGAGATCCTTTCCCCATGGGAAAATCATACATTTTAAAGCTAAGCACTATACTAAGTGCTGGACTGACTTGCTTCTTTTTTATGATTCTGTGTGGCAAGTATTTATCCCTTGACCACGGAGGAAAGTGAGAAATGGCCACATAGCTCCTGAACTGCCAAGCTGGGTCTGATCTCATCACTGCTATACTAGAGGACCTCTTAGGACAGGACCATCACTGGGAGGCTGCAGGGTTGCTCCCAGGGCCACAGAGGATGAAGGAGTGAGGTCCCCAGTCCATGGTACACATGGCAGATGGACTAGGTCTTTGATGACGCTGTCCTGCAGTCTTGTGGAGCCCTCCCACAGACCTTGCAGATACAGCACAGTGTTGGGGCCGTTTCTTACTCTTAAGAGACTCCTGAGGCTGGACGAAGTTGGCAGTTCAGGGTGACACTGGTCTGCATGTGACCACAGGAAGCACGCCCAGCAGGACTCAGGGCTGAGGACAAGTCAGCTCTGTGTCCACTTAGTTTCTCAGGAGCTGAGAAGGGGGACACTGTCCCCAACCAGCCTCTTCAGGTGATCCAGATAAGCCCTATGCCTTCTTGTTGCTGGGGCTTTCCAGTCCCTTGAAAACCAGGCTGTACTTGCAAAACCCTGACTACTGTCCCACAAGACAGAAGCACTCTAGGCCATTTCAGAGGGATGCTGGGAGCAGGGCTGAAAGGGTGGGTGGTATGTCACTCCTGACACAGTTGAGAAACATACATAGCCCTACTGAGGCTGTTTAGTGTTCTGAAGCCTCCCTGTCACACACCACATTCAGCTGCCAGCTTCCTCTAGGAAGCCTTCCCTGACTGTCAGAAGTCTAGAGTCTCTAACCCAGGGCACCCAGCTCACTTCCTCATTCTGTCACCACCCTGACTGAAGGCTGCCTAGTGTCAGGGGCTGACTGACATTCAGAGTGTCACATCAATGCTGCCACCACTGAGGTTCACGTGTCCTCGTCTCCCCTTAGGAACTCAGCAAAAGATTTACCTCAATCCGAAAGACCAAAGGAGATGGGAACTGCTTCTACAGGGCCTTGGGCTATTCCTACCTGGAGTCTTTGCTGGGCAAGAGCCGAGAGATCCTCAAGTGAGTAAGGCCTGTGTAGACACTTCTGCTTGTCTAGGCTGCATCTGCCCTGGACCAAGTTTTTTTTTTTTTGTGTGTGTGTGTGTGTGTGTGTGTGGTGTGTTTTGGGGTTGGGGGGGCACATCATGCCAGGAAACATAGCTGCCCACTGGATGGTGTTGATGGCAGCCCAGAGGCTGAGGAAAGGTGTCAGTAACTTGTCTGGTACTTCCCTCAGCATTGTCTGAAGGCAGGGCTCACCAACAGTGGGTGGCCACTTGGTATTTACTGAAAAAAAAAAAAAAGAAAGAAAGAAAGAGAAAGAAAGAAAGGAAGGAAGGAAGGAAGGAAGGAAGGAAGGAAGGAAGGAAGGAAGGAAGGAAGGAGAGAGATGTGGAGGCATACAGTAAGATGATGTTTCAAACACCAACACAAGGAGGAGGAAGAGGAAGAAGGAAGGAGGACAACAAAGAAGAGAGGAAGAGGAAGAAGGGGAAGACGACAAAAGAAAGAGAAGACAAAGACAAAAGGAGGAAGCATGTCCTTGCTGGCCTTGGTGTGTGTGTGCACGTGCAGGCACACTGTCTTCTTTCCTTCTACTGCATTGATGGGAAGTCACTTTTACCAAGCCATTTGGCTGGCCCTTTATCCTGATAGTGAGTGCAGCCCAGTGCCAGGCTGGTCCTGAAGTTAATGAAGAGCTGCTTTACATGGTGGCCAGGACAGACTCTTCACCATGCCCACAAAGGCCCTGTGACCTGTGGCAGGAAGGGCCTATGCATCAGAGTGGGAGCAAAAGTGGGGCTGGCCTTGGGTCAGGGAGGCCAGACCTGATTGGAGCAAGCTTGTGTTAGGACTGGTTTCTAACTACCCCACATAAGCAACCAGAACATAGATCTGAGGGACTGAAAGAAGCGCACGCTGGGGTCCATGGTGTTCTCACCTTACCTCACTTACGAAATGAGTACTACTAAACAGGAAACTGAGCTTTGAGTGTTTAATTTTAAAATTAGATTTACTTGTTTTATTGTATGAGTGTTTTGCCTGCACGTATGTATGTGTCCCACGTGTCCTCAGTGTCAGAGAGGGCACTAGCTCTCCTGGAACTGGAGTTATGGATGGTTGTCAATTGTGCTGGGAATCAAACCAGGATCCTCTGCAAGAATGTGTTCTTAACACTGAGTATGCTCCCTAGCCCCATTCTTGGTTTTCAGTATGCTTTATTTCTGTGTACCTTTACAACATTTGGATTTTAGTAAGGGGTGCTAATTCTTTAAGTAACAGGTTATTAGCTTAAGGGAGGGGGAGAAAAGGGCAAGAGCTGGACATGACCAGGGCAGATGATGACAAGTGCGACCACAGGGACAGGAACCTTTGAAAGGGAATTGCCATGTCCAGGGAGTAGGCTGTGACTGCCTCAGTTTCTTCATCTGAGAAATGGAATCATCTACAGCAGGGAAGGCAGCAGGTCAATATGTAGAGTGCCTTGAAACGTCACAGGGCACTTCTGTGAGGCTGGTATGGACTGGACAATTGCCTGTCACAGCAACACCATGTGTTCCCCTTGCGACCGTCAGGTAAACATCAGGTCTCCTCCCCTCTAGGTTCAAAGAGCGTGTGCTACAGACCCCAAATGACCTTCTGGCTGCTGGCTTTGAGGAACACAAGTTCAGAAACTTCTTTAATGCTGTGAGTTCACCTGAGCCATACTGGCCTTCCACAAGGGCAGAGCAGACAGGAGCAGGCAGGCTGGAGGTCTTCGATCCACCCACAGCTGTGCAGCTTTGTTCTTAGTCCTCCCACCTGGGGCTGGGGCAAGGCCATTCCCTGCTGCTTGGGGGTATATGGGTCAAGGGGACCTCAGTTTGGAGGACTGTCAGCATCGTTCTGCCATTCTGAATATATGGTAGAAGGAGACTCAATGCCAGGCCCCTAGATGTGCCTCGGAGCCTCAACACTAAGACTTGCAATCTCAAAATGAGCTCTGAGGAAGTCGTGTGTGGGGTGGGGTGTGGGGGACAGGTGCTTGCTGGGGTCTATTCTGATGGTGGCAGCGTGAAGTTTTACAGTGTGGTAGAGCTGGTAGAGAAGGACAGCTCGGTGTCCAGCCTGCTGAAGGTGTTCAATGACCAGTGCTGCTCGGACCGGATCGTGCAGTTCTTGCGCCTGCTCACATCGGCCTTCATCAGGAACCGAGCTGACTTCTTCCGACATTTCATTGATGAGGAGATGGACATCAAAGACTTCTGCACTCATGTATGTCCCTAGGGTCGTCCTGTAGCCCCTGGCCTAGGCTTTGCTTGTCTGTCTCTTACACATCCCAGGACCACTGTTTCTGCCCAGAGGAACATCCTTGCAATGTCAGCTAGCAAGGTTAGCACCTGGAGGCATCTTCCATGAGTGGCCTGAGCGCCGAGGCTTGAGCAAGCAGCTTGTATTCCCAGGGAATCGCCTATCTGGAATCTCAGGACTGCTCTGCTGATAAGCAGCTGAGTGGCAGCTCCTGTCATGCTAACCCTAAGATGGGCTTTTGTTTAGATAATATTTATCTGAAGGAGTGGCCCACATGTAAGGAAGTGGACAATTATGGCTACTTGGATTTTTTTTTTTTTTAATTAGGAGGTACTGGGCCCTAAGTTGGACGGCGACTACCAGTAGGCACAAGAACAGCTGCCCTCTTTGGGGTACCTGCCACCATCTCTGCCTCTCTGTTGTCTCTACAGCAGCAGGACTCACACACAGGCTCTGGCCACTGCCAAGCACTTATACTTGGAAGCCTTTGATGACAAGGTCCTCTTAGTTCTAAGTTCTGATGCTAGCCTAAAAGATTCCTCCCCTTTTGCACATTCCTTAAAGGGTATGGAATAAAAATGGCTCAGGTTTGCGGCACACCTTTAATCCCAGCACTCGAGAGGCAGAGGCAGGCAGATCTCTATGAGTTCGAGGCCAGCCTGGTCTCCAGAGCGAGTGCCAGGATAGGCTCCAAAGCTACACAGAGAAACCCTGTCTCGAAAAACCAAAAAAAAAAAAAATAGGTTCAGGTTCATTTTCTGCAAGCCCTGTAGTCTCTGTGTTGCTTCCATGACAGATGGTTATCAGCACCTGCGCTCACATGTGCTTGGGAAGAACCCCCCCACCCCACCCCCAGCACAGGAGACCATGATCCTGAGAGCCAGGGTTTCACTCACCCTCCCCGCGCCCCTCCTAAGTGTTTCATTTTGGCATTGCAGGAAGTGGAGCCCATGGCCATGGAGTGTGACCACGTCCAGATCACAGCTCTGTCGCAGGCACTGAACATTGCTCTGCAGGTGGAGTATGTGGATGAGATGGACACAGCTCTGAACCACCACGTGTTCCCTGAGGCTGCCACCCCTTCCGTTTATCTGCTCTATAAAACATCCCACTACAACATCCTTTATGCAGCCGAAAAACACTAATTTTAGGCCATGCCGGAGCCTGTCATCTAATGGACTGCATTCTGAATGGAACATTCTGCCTTGGCAATTTTTTAATTGATTTAGACAACTAGAAACATACAGCCTTTTGGGTAAAGCCACTGAACTGAGACCTGTGCCCACTATGGACTGTCATGACTTAATAGGAATTTTAGTATTTATTTTGATAGATGATGTAATGCCTGCTAACTCTGGACCAGAAAGCCAGGAACCCTATGTATCCGTTTACTGTAAGAACCTCGTTGGACCTATTTATTTATCTGGAAGAGGTTCCTGGCAGTGTTGACATGCCGCTGTGTAAAAATGGGGAAATCCGGTTTATCCTTAACAGGGACAGTAGCCTTCATAGGGGGGGAAAAAAAAAAAAAAAAACTCAGGTCAGCTGTCAAATTCAGGTGACTCACCAGACCTATGAAGAGTCCAGCCCTGCTATGTATGTTGGGTGTGTAATGGTAGACAACTGTCTGAATGTGAGGGGCTTGTGTGGAGTTTCCTTCATGATGGCTGTGCTTTCCCATCCATTGGGGGGTGGGGGGAGAGGGAGTGGGGGAGAGAAAACATGAGAGACTTTTATACCAAAGTCAGAAAAGGGTTTTAGCCTTCAGCATGAAGCTCAGGTTGTGAAGTCCTTCTGCCTCAGGGCCACAGCTCTTGACTTTGAAGACAGGCCCTTCAGAGTTTGGCTGTCAGCCCCACTTGGATAAGGCTTGACAAAGCCGAGGGCTTGTACCTGAGTCAGTGTTTATGTCTGGGACTGGGGAGCTGCATCTGCCCGCCCATCATCTCCAGTGAATTCTAGAAGTAGGGTCTAGGTAGTCAGCTGGGTAGGGGTGTGTACAGCCTGGAAACAGGAAGAGCAGAGCACAGGGTCTGCAAGGCTCTTCAGTTTTCCCCAGCCCAACTTTGTAGGCAGCTAGGCATAAAAGAACAGACAAGCCATACAAGTTGGCAGCAGGGACGGTCCCAATGCTGGCAGCAGCCTCTTCGTCTGCACATGCCCCTTAACAGCCCCTTACTCGCCTTGCTGCCACCCGAGGACACTGGGGGACAATCAGCCTCCAGCTGGCCTGAGGCACTAACTAGCCATGCCTTCCTCTGTAGGACAGCCATGGAACCACCCACTAGTACCCTTCCTTGGGTGCAAGGTTCCCTCTCAATGTTTCATTCTGCAGGGCTTAAGACTTGTGGTGCTACAGTGAGGGTCTGCCAACAGTCTGCACACAGGACCAGAAGGATCCAAGTCTTAAATCTCACATCTGTATCTTTTCTTCTGCTTGGTGTAAGCCAAAAACTCCCAGATGTCTGGGCAGTGTGGAAACCAAGGCCAACATTTAGATCCAAGGGCCCCAGCTACTGAGTCTGTCACTGACACAGAGTATATAAATCTGACCTTCATCTTTTGTTAAGTGTCCCACCCTGATCTGGGTAAGAGTGTTTGTGACTATGACAAGTACCCTGGAAGAGCAGGCACTTATTTCCGTGACTATCTTCAGCCAGACTATTCTTCACTTCCAAGCTGAATGTATGAACATAGGATGCCTGCCTGGGCTGCTCCAAGGAGTTCAGATGGGTCTGGGAACAGGACAATGGGAACTTGGGAACATGCTAAAACCTGGCTGACCACAGCGATTTACTGGCTAGGCTACAGCAACAAATCATGCTAGCACGCCCACTTTCTGAGTGACTCCTGCACCCCTACAGCCACCTCTTTCTACACAAAACCCTGAAAATGCAGGTGCTTTAAGAGATCATCTTTGCAAATGCGTGTATATGCCTCACTTTCCCAGTATACCTGCTCTGGCTGTCTTCCTGAAACAAATGAAACTCCACTGGGGCCAGCTGCCCAAGTTCAATTCTCAACTCTGTGAGCTTGGCCAAGCCACTTCACCTCTGAGCTTTGGAAGCAGAGAAGTATGCCTCAGAAGTGAATGGCCTCCTTAAGTATGAGCCACAGGGAAACAATGTGACATCTAAGAGCCAAGTATACAGCCAGCCTGGGACAACAGGGCTCAGGGTCAGTGAGTGCCCAAGCCAAGCCCTACATCTTCCTTTAGATGAAAACATCTTCGTAGCATTAAAAGTTTCTATAACAACTTTCAGCCTGGCCTCTTAATGTTGGATAGTGGTTACGTAATGAACACCATCTTCTCACAGGCCACTCATGAGGCAGGAAGCTGTACACAGACTTGACCAAAGCCTAGGCACACTAGTGGCCCCATCTTACCAAGGGTGTGCAGAGCTCTTGAGCCCACTTACCAACTCCACTGACATCTCACAGCATCATTTGGAAAGTGGAGGCCACTGGGTGATCTATGTTTGCTTTGTCCTCCTAGCTAGGTCAGAAGTAGACAGTGGGGTCATGGGAAGGGCACCTACCTGGAGGTGCTGGGTCCTAACATCAGAATAGTAGAACTCACTCAGATGGAAGGTGCCCCAATTTACCAACATCTCATCTGGCTATCTGACACTAAATGTCCACTTTCTCAACTACAAAAAAAGGGGGGGAGGGGCTAAAATACACCATGACCTCAGAGACAACCAAATGAGAATCCAAATTAATAAAAGTTTCTAATAGCCATGACTAATACATTCCTATAATCCTTCCTTATGAGGACACTGAGGCAATAGGGTTCCCAGTTCTAGGCCTCCCTAAACAGTGAAACTATTCAAACTAGTCAGCAGAAGGCTAAACAGGTATAAGCACTATCACCTAACAACCTGAGCTAGATCCCCAGAACCCACGTAAAGGTAGAAGGATGGAACAAATTGTCTCCATGTCTGAGCAGCACCCCCCCCCATCACATACTATATATATGTTTAGGGATACAGATAACTCAGTGGTAGAGTGCTTGCCTAGCACATGGGCTCAATCTCTAGTACTTTAAGGGTTAAAAAGTATCTTAATACCAGGCATCCATTCAACAGCAATACCAGAATCCAGTTGAGGCTCAAAGTTAAAAGGGAGTCCCACGGTCACCTTTCAACCTTGCTGAGAGTTGAGGGAGACTGTTTCTTAGATAGGATATTTAGGCATGCCTGTGTACTAAAATCCACAGGACTCCTCAAGCCAAACATCTGAACCATGCCCGTGAACATCTGTCTCAAAGTGCAGGCTGAGCTGTCCTTCCCCCATGTCTGGCAGTGGTGGTTACTAAGCCAGAATGACTGGGAGCTGTGCAACACGCGTCACTATCCCCACAGTGTACTTACACTAGGCCCCAATGCAGGACTGGAGGCCTGAACCCCTGGAGCTCTGCCATCTAAACTGTGGCCAGCATCACGAGGCAGGTAGCCCAGAGCACTGAGCTCCTTATAGAGAACACACAGCCCTCCAGGGCACTTCAGGCTGAGAAGTCTGTTTTATAAAAAGGCTAGGACAAAAGACAATGCATGGAATCATGACCAGGAACTTGGGCCAGATCCTGTGGTCTCTAGCGCTACCTACAGATTTGTGACTGATACCCTTGTGAGCTGAGGGTGGCTCAGATAAGAGAGCAGACAGTAGTGTGACACAGAAGCTGGTGGTATAATGACTGCTGTGGAGAAGGACAGTGACATATACTGAAGATCTGACAGATGGCACCATTTCCCACCTGAAGGAAACAGTACTGTGTTGGCCCAAGGGAATCTCAAAGCTAATGATATAACACTGCAACACTCTCAGGACAACTCTGCTCCCATCTGTTTTTAATCTGGAAACCACGGTGTAAATAAGAAGCCTGCGTACACTGGATACAGAGGCATAGCTGCTGGCTACTACACTTACTCCACAACACACGTGCATGAGTTCTTTCCTGCTAAAGGATGGAAGAGTGGGACGTTTTCCCAAGTAGATGGTGGCGCGAAACACAAGGCTAGGAAGGCTTTCACAGACAACTGGAGAACAGACCTCACTGAGCAGTCACCACACTGACAAAGGGCAGTTAGCTCGTGCTTGCACTTGACTGCGGAGGTGCCCGGTGTTCTTTTGGCTTCTTCCTCCTCCTCCTCTTCTGTCTAGAGAGGCAGCTCAGTGCAGACTCACCATTCCTGGGGGCCACCATGGGCTGAGGCAGCCTGCCAGACTGTGTGGGGTACCTGGTCTTCAGGTTCTCCTGGAAGAGTGGCTGGGAGAGCAGATGGCGTAGCTCCTGCTTCAGGACCTTTATCTGCTTCTGTCGCCGTCGCTCTTCCTGCTGGTCAGCTTTTCCTCCTGGAGACACACAAACAGAAGACCATGTTTATGCAGAAACACTTTCCTTAGTCTAGGATAAGCTCTGGTACTTGACAGCTCAGAAACATAAATGGCTAACTTCTGTTTAGGAGGGATAGGGTGGAACACTGTCCTTCACCATTCAGGGACCAGTAAAGACAGAGTCCTCAATTTACAGATAAGGAAACATGGGTTTAGAGGAGTCACATAAGGGGTGCAGAGCGAACTGTCAGAGATCGGAACCCACATCTGACTGAGGACTGCTGTTCCACCACTGTGGCTGCACACAGTCACCTGGAGTGTGGTGACCACAAATTCCTCAGGAGATGGTGAACGATTCTCTGCAGTCTGATTCTCCAGTACCTCCCCAACCAATGCTGTAACACAGAGGTGGACACAGAACAAGTCCCCACCCAAGCCTGACCTCAGGAAGAAAGCCAGGGACTCACATCTCTATCTGAGCCCTAGACCAGAGCTACAAGGAGGAGTGCTCTGTTGGCAAACTACTGGCTCCCAGCAGAGGAACCATCTGCCTCTGCACTTGATGGTTGGGTACTGAGAAGTCAGACCCTTGGCTAAGCCGAGCTGCTGGTGGGGAAGAAGAAGCACCAGCCATAACTGCTGTCATAAGCCCCAGATGCAGTTCTCAGCTTTCCTATGCAGGGCCATGCAGCCCAATCCATTCCTTGGCTTCTGATCCACAGACAGAAGAGGGCTTAGGCAATACCTAGTGGTAGTGCTGTTCTACTGTACAAATCCCTTCTTTCTGTGAGCCTTTATCCCTGCATGTAAAAGAACAATATTTTCCACTCGATTCATGCCAAGGAACTGGGGAAGTTAAGAGAGACATGGAGGTGTTTTGCTGCCTTGGAAGGCAGGGGTAGAACTAACTACAACGACAATAACAACAGTGTCATAAACCTCCTGTTTTTAGGGCACAACTGGACCCAGATTAGCCTCCTACTCAATCTTAAGCTAGGAGGCAGGAAGTTTATTGCCTGTCTTATAGATAAAGAAAGAGGTGAGGCTATCACAATAAGAGAACAGGCTGCATTAACAAGGACGTCCCTCTTGTGTCTGCTCCTGGTCGTGGATTCATGGGCTGTCCATACAGACAAGAGTCAGACACATAGGAAAGGCCGAGGTAATCTGACCCACACGGATGAGCAGACATGCTCATGATGACAGGAAAAGGGCACCCTGCTGCTTCTACTGGGTCACAGAAGTGAGGATGGTTTCAACCAAGTAGAAGTTAAAGGGAAAACCAGTGCTGGATGCAGCCTCCTGTTCCCACCCAGCTGGGACACACCTTTGTACATGTCTTCCTCTAGCTCAATCTCCAGGGCTGCCGCCGCCTGCTCAATCCATGAGTTGTGCAGACAAGCCTGGAAGTTCCGGTACTCAGCCTTTTCAACCTGCCGCGCTAGACGGATCCGCTCCTGAAGGGACAGGAGCACAAAATACTCATCTGATAGAGGGTCAGGGCCTCTTGGCACACATAAAGCTGTTCTTAAACTGCTCTGTGAGCAGTGAGCAGTGAGCCACAACTCAGATGCCACTGAAACCCTTACCCGGGCTCCTGCCTAGGTGATCAGTATACACACCACCACAAAAACCTGCTTGTATCTCCTTAGAGGACTGTCCCAGGCTGCCAACTTATAGGTGACCACAGTGAACTTGTCTCCCCAGGAGTCACATCTGGTTTCCTCAATTCTTTTTGTGGGTTCTGGGCTCAGACTGCAGTGATATAATGCCCCCTTTGCCCTGACATGGGAAAGATCATGTGCAGTGGGAATAAAAAGCCATGAAAATGAGGAGGCTCCCTGTCTCCTCAATAGGAATTCCCTATGTTCCCACCTTCCACCAGCCCCATCATAAATCCTCACATGGTCAACATTTTTTTCGTGCCAAAGTGGCCACAGGCCCTTGAACTGCCCCTTGTTTCCACTCCCTCCATGCCTCCAACTCCATCCCCTCCTCACTCTTCCTCACCTCTGCAGTAAGATGAGAGTGCTTCCCCCCACATCATAACCACAGGCCTATTAGCCTCAGTGCTCCATGTAAACCTCACTGCATGTGTGGCCTATGCACACATTGGTGAGCCTCTGGGGAAAACTATCCAATCAGTCTGATACACTGTGGCCCAGGATACACATTCACAGTGAATGCTCCTGAGTTACTATAAACCTTCAGCATCTACCTCTTCCACAGCTCTCTGACATGTCTATATGGCTGTGCTCACTGCACTACTGTCCACCTGCAGCGGAACCAGGTGGAGACTTCAGGACCAGTTATCAAAGTGGATGAGGGAGATATTTTCTTCGGTCATTACCCTTTTCTGCTTTTCTCCCAGGTTTGGCACTTGAAGCCTTTTTACAAAAGCTACCATCTGGCCATCAGCAGAACCGCTTCTCAATTCTCTAGGGACAGGCTTCTGGTCTCAGAGTAAGGGTCTCTTTGAGGGGGCAGTACACTGTTTTACGCCGTGAGGGGGGTTAGCTTTTTTACCTTGACCACATCCATGTACTTTGCCTGCACTGGGAACAGGGGGATGTCCTCGTCTTTCTTGAGAGTTTTGTAAATCTTCTTGAAGTTGATCACATCTTCAGGCCCAATCAGCATCAAGCTGAGGCCTTCCCTGGTAGCACGGGCAGTCCGGCCACTCCGGTGGATATAGATCTCTGAGGTGCGGGGCACCTGCCAAAGTAACAACAAGGATCAGCACCCAGACACTGCCCAACAGCTCTTTTCCTCTGGGCCACAGCCCCAAACTGGCTCTGCTCTCTGCGGGACAGAAACCTCTCTAGCACTGTGGATCAACTTAGCCCTACTTCCAGACACACACAGACTGTCCCTAAGTTGACAGCCCATCCACTACAGGCTCTGCCTTCCATGGCCTCCACGCTGGTCCAGCTCTTCACAATCAATCCGGGTCTCTCATCCTCTCTACTCTCACTCCCCTGTGACCAATACCATCAAATTTACCTTACTCTCAGCTTTGAAATGTCCCAGATCAGCATGGGTGACTGATGACAAAAACATTTATAACCAATAGTTACTAAATGACTGCTTTAGGCCAACCAACCACAAAACACTTTGTATGTGTGGTTTGAATGAGCTGTTTCTCAAGTCTCTGAACACTTGATTCCCCAATTGGTAGCCCTGTTTTTTGAAGTTTAGGAGGTATTACCTTGCTGGGGAAATACCACTGGTGGCAGGCTTTGAGGCTTCAAAAGCCATGAACCATTTTCAGTGTATTCTCTCTGCTTCATATTTGCAGTTGAGCACTCAGCTACTGCTCCACCCCCCTCCCACCTGTTACCTCTCCTACCTCATAAGGACTCATCACTCTGGAACCATAAGCCTAATAAGCCTTTTTTTTTTCCTATAAATTGCTTTGGTCACACTGTTTTATAACAACAGGGATGTAACAAAGGCTGGGTGAAGGCGGTGGTAGCACATGCCTTTGCCTTTAACCCCAGCACTTGGGAGGCAGAATCTGCAGGCGGATCTCTGTGAGTTCGAGGCCAGCAAAGTCTACAAAGAAAGTTTCAGGACAGCCAGAGTTGTTACACAGAGAAATGTTGTCTGGGGGGAAGAAAAGAAAGAAAATGAAGGTAGTATTAGCCTAGTCATATGAAATACCTCATCATTATCCACATATTATAAACCAGGAAACTAAAATACAGAGTGGTCCACCCACTTCCCCTAGGTTACCCAACAAAGTGTGTGTGGGAGCCAGGATTCAAAGACCACGTTAACCCCACATCAGTCTATAGCAGTATATTGTCCACAAACAGCACAGCATGGGTATTGGCACTCTGCCTCCCTGACTGCTGTGTCGACCACCACTGATGAAATGCAGTGGGCTCAGTATCCACCATAAACCGTTTACTGTGATTCTGGAAATAGAGGCTTGCCACTCTTCATCTTAGAGAATGAAGAGCCAGCTCCCGACTGTGACACTCTAGGCTTCAGCCATCTGCCCCTAACTTACTGTGCTGGCCTCAGCAACCATTCACCTCCTCACATCCCAACAAAGTCCTCTTCTCACTCCAGGCCGAGTGACCCTGTGCTAGTTTTTTTCAATGTGACACAAGCTACAGTCATCTGGGACGAGGGCACCTTCACTGAGGAAATGCTGCCATCAGATCAGCTGGCCTGTAGACAAGTCTGTGGGGCATTGTGTTGATTAATGACTGATGTTAGAGGGCCCCCTAACAGGTGGTCTTGGGTTGTATAAGCAAGCAATCTGAATAATCCAGGAGGAACAAGCCAGTAAACAGCGCTTCTTCATGGACTTCCCTTCATAGTAGACTGTGAGCTGTAAAGTGAAACCAACCCTCTCCTCCCCAAGTTGCTTTTGGTCACAGTGTTTATCACAACAGCAGAACCCTAACGAAGACATACCTAAACACACCTACCTACAGTCCTTCCCTCCCTCTGCACATCCCAAACTCTCCATCTGGAATGCCAGCATCTTCTAGAAAGCACCCAGAACCCTCTCAAACTATACTACAATTGATAATTGTCATATCTCACTTATCCTCTACAGGATGCAGTACTTCTTAGGGGATGAGACTATATTTATGGTCCTGGTTTCTTCTACAACCGACCCAGTCTCTCTGTCCCAGAGTTGTGCTAATCTGAAATTGATATCCCCAAAATATTTTTCAAAGCAAAAGAGTTAAAGATTTAAAACAAAACAGTTGTGGAACAATTTTTTTGTACATTGTAAATATGTATTACTCTCATTGGTTAATAAAGAGCTGACTGACCAATAGCTGAGCAGGTAGAGGTTAGGTGGGACTTGCAGACAAAAAGAGAGGGCTGGGAAGGAGGATGGAGTTGCTGGGAGCCAGGGAGAGAAGATGAACATGCAATGCTGAAAGAAGGTACTGCCACGTGGTAGGGTGTAGATAAGAAATATGGGTTAATTTAAGTTGGAAGAGCTAGTTAGTAACAAGCCTATGCTATCTGCTGAGCATTTGTAATTAATATTAAGTCTCTATGCATTTATTTGGGAGCTGGTAGTCCCAATGAAAAGCTCCAACCTACAAAAAAATGTTGTAATAGATGCCAGGCTTTCCACACTTAACACTGTGGTAGGTGTTTCACTATCCACTCAGTTCTAACGACCCTAAGGGGAAGATGTGGTTGTTGCTTCTAGCTTCCAGATAACGGCACTGAAATGAATGGGCCAAAGTACTTGCCCAAGGCTGTCAACCCTGAAGCATCAGAGTGGTGTTCGATTCCTGGCAGTAGGATCTAGAGCCCATGCTCCCAGCTACAACTGCATGCTGCTATTTGCTCTTCATCATCACTAATGTTGCTGCTACTATTGGTCCAGAACATGTAGTCAGTGTTTCCCATTTGGTGCCTTACAAACCCTGCAACATACTACCCGCCATTCACAAAGTGAGCAAACCAAGTGACAGAGACTAAATAATTTGTTGTAGGGCACACAGCTGGGATTTAGTCAGGGGTCTTAACTACACCACTCCTGCACTGCACACTAGACTAAGCCATTTAACACACTGCTGTGAGAGCCCTATATAAAACCCCCAAACAACCCAGTCTACTGCCAAAGTTAAACGCTGCTCTCCACAAACTGATGACCCTACTGATAGTAACTATATAACTCACTGAACATGGAGAAGTTGAGCTGGTGCCTACCTAGAGTCTTCACCTCTATGGACTAGTGTTTATACGGACTCCTGTCCATAGTACTGGGAGGTACTCAGAAGAGAAAGGTAAATACCCAGATACAAACTCTTCAATACACAATGATGAGCTGCCTTTGTAATGTGCTGGTGCAATAGTGGCACAAAAGTTGTGGGAGTGACCGCCCATATCTGCTTGGAATTAGGGCTCATTAACCCATGAGATGAAACTCATGCCTGACACTCCTTGGGTGGCCAAGAATCTGATACTGGATAGGTCACAGACCGTTTGGAAAACCAAGTATCACTGTTCTGCTAAGGGAACATGCAAATAAAACTCCTGCTATCCTTATAGATCAGCCATCATCAGAGAAGCTCTTTCCTAAGTAGATTGGGAACAAATATAGAGAACCACAACTGGACAATGTGCAGAGAGTGAGAGACCTGGGAACACTCAGTCTTAAATGGGATGTCTCCAGTAAATCCCTCCCTTCAGGTCTCAGGGAACACTGTGGAAGAGGAAAGGTGGAAAGACTGTACAGGCCACTAGGGATGGAAGACACCATGGGAATGAGGCCTTCTAGACACAACAGGACTAACATACATGAACTTAGAGAACAAGGCAGCTTTCATAGGGCCTGCACAGGTCTAAGCCAGACGGGGTCCTTTGGAAGGTTTTTGTCTCATAATGCTTTGTTTGGGCTTTTTTTTTTTTCCTTTTCTTTACAGGTCTTTTGTTTATATATCACAGTTTCTGCTTTTGTGTCTTTATGGGATTTGTGTGGGAGTATGTGTGTTTCTGCATCTGTATATGTTTCTTGTGCTTTACCTTTGGCTCATTTTTTGTTTGTTATTGTCCGAATCTGGTTCTTTTGTTGCCTATTTTGTAATGAGAGAAAGAAAAGGTACAGATGGGGGTGGGTGGGAAGATGGGGAGGATCTGGGGTAACTTAGGGGAACCATGATTAGAATACATAAAAAAAATATACTGTATGAAAAAAATCCATTTTCAATTAAAAATGAAAATGGCCAGGCATTAGTGGTGCACGCCTTTAATCCCAGCACTCGGGAGGCAGGCGGATCTCTGAGGTTCAGGCCAGCCTCGGCTCCAGAGCCAGTGCCCGG